AAGATGGAGGAGTGAAAATGAATAAAAATCAAATTCCATCGTGTTTTTTCCAGCACTGGGAATTTTCCAAAGAAACGCCACATCCCACGTGGACGCCAAGACTACATTTTGGCAGGAGCTCCCCAATCTTTCCTCCAGTTCAGGAGTCAGCAAACCAAAGCTCCAGGGCTGAATCCTGCAGCCACCTGTCTCTATACATTGTTCATAAGCTTAGTATTTACTTTTGTGTGTGTGTGAGGAAGACTGGCCCTGAGCAAACATCTGTTGCCAATCTTCCTCTTTTAGCTCAAGGAAGACTGTCGCTGAACCAACGTCTGTGCCAGCCTTCCCCTATTTTACGTGGGACGCTGCTACAGCGTGGCTTGATGAGTGGTATGTAGGGCCTTGCCGGGGGTCTGAACCTCCAAAGACAGGGAGTCCGCTCCGGCTGCGCTCACTGATTCTCGGGAAGCAGAAAGGCACATCGGAGGAGACGTGTTGTTGAGCTTTGGAGAAATATTTGTTCATCCCTACCATTTAAGGGCTGAGTTTTGTTTGTCCCCTCCACTCTTTCCTGGGTCTTTCGGCTTTGGTTTTATTCTACGATTGTCTCCCACCCCACCATTTACAGCCACAAACAGTCTTCCTAAACCAATCTTCTCCTGTCTGCCCTGGAGAAATAAGGTTTCTTTTTACTTCTCTAAGAAGTAAAGAGTAACCTAAAATGGGAGTCAGCCTGGTGGTGTAGTGGTTAAGTTCGCATGCTCCACTTCGGCAGCCCAGGGTTCACTGGTTCAGATCCTGGGCACAGACCTACACACCACGCATCAAGCCATGCTGTGGCAGCATCCCACATACAAAGTAGAGGAAGATGGGCACAGATAGTTAGCTCAGTGACAATCTTCCTCAAGCAAAGAAGAGGAAGACTGGCAATGGATGTTCGTTTAGGGCCAATCTTCCTCACCAAAAAAAACAAAAAAAGCAACCCAAAACGGACTCCTTTAGAAGTAACTTCTTAGTCTACGTTCTTTTCTCCCTTTGAGCATCTCAATCAAAGTCACTGATAGAGTGTGGACAAGGTACCTCATTCTTTAATCAGAATGAAATGATCACTAAGTGCAGGGTAGCACAACATTATATAGGACTCTCCCTAACTGATACAGAAAAACTACAGGAAAGATAGGGAGTCATCCATCTGCCACACAGCTATAAATGACAGACAGCAAGAAATGATGGGCTAGAACCTCCAGTTCTGACAGCACTTAAATTAGAGAAATATAGTTAATTTTTTTCTATATCAATCATTAGCATATTAAAATTTTGTCCCTTCTAAGAATTCACCAAGGCAATACTTTTCAAAACTGATAATGGCCAATGAGCCACCTTGAAGTCCCAGCTGAAAACAGCCTCAAAAGGCTGGAGTCCTCCCCAATATCACATGGAGCAGAAGCAGCACTCAGCTGAGCCCTCGCCACCCACCCGCAGGGGCAACAACAAAAAGGTGGTTTGAAGCTGGGAGATGGTTTGCTATGGAACAACAGATAATCAAAACACAAACTGTTGCGAGAAAAAAGGTGCAAAATAGTAATTATCATACGATCCCATTTTCATTGAAAAATTTTGAAGAAACACCTTCAATAAATGAATATATCTTTCCATCCACAGAAAATGTATAGCAAATGTTTTAGGGAACGATACACAGAAGTCGTAGTGAGAGTATACTGTGGAGAGGAAGAGAAGGGACGAAGCTTTCATTTTTTACTCTATACAATCTTTTTTCTTCAATGAGCATATTTTTAATACAAAAGCGAACAACAACAAAAAAAATTACAGTGAAAGGAAGGTATATAATGGTAATATTAGCAAGTTTTGAAACTGTATTTCCAGCATTCCCAGATTAAATCATAGCATTTCACAGCTTCCTCTAAAACAAAATGTTTATAGCATATGTATATACCATGAAGTAGAGAAACAAACTGAGTTCATCCCAATGCTCTCTTCTGTGCTGGACCCCATCACTGGGGACACAGAGGTGGCCAGAAGATCTCTGTCCTCAAGGGACAAAAAGCCGACCCAGGTCCCGGTCCTGAGCCTCGGCGGGTAACCAAGAGGAGACAGAGTGCAGCGTGAGGCCCAGCTCCAGCTGGTGGCAGCCAGGCAGTCCCTTCTCCCAGCCTCCTGGGCTCCCTGCGCACGGGTAACTTGGGGCAGGCCTCCCAAGGCCAGTGTGAAACTCAGCAAACACCCAGGAAAGCACCTGCCACCAAGGAAATACTTAAGGAAAGGGACTGCTCTGGTGTCACTCTGTGGCATGGACCTTTTTTAGCTTCAGTCTCCTCTTTTAAAAAAAAGAAAAAGCAGGGATCAATTACACCTGCCTTCATGGGAGTCCTCTGAAGAGCAAATGGAAGAAGGATCTGAGGCTGAAGAAAGAAGCCAGCTGTCTACAGCAGGGCACGGGCCTCCCAGAGCGGGTACAGGCCGCTCCACAGGGCTGGGGAAGAAAAGCCTGGAAGTTACATTTACTTTTATCCAAAAAATAGGATACAAACTATGTTTTAGCAATATGTGTAATTATGTATGTACTAATTATACTAGTTATTTTACACTATGTTACATGATACTAATTACATTATACTACCATAAAAGACTAACAGTGCTGATAAAAGCAGAAACTGACTCTGCATCCTGAGTCCCTCTGCCGAGGGTCACATGTCACCAGCTTCGGAGGACCTCAGCAGGGAGGGCAGGTCTGACAGGGCCACCTGCTCCCTTTTCTTCGCCTTCAGCACATGCCACGTATCTTGTTGGCAGACGCACAGTGGGGTAGACTAACAAATTATAACTAAGTCTTACAAAAGATATGAAGTTTTAAGATCCTATAAAAAGAACAAATTAGTTATACTAACGAATGCAAGCACAGGCAAACAAAGACCACAACTAGCAAAGCACACGCTTCTCATTCTGAATCAACTGTGCACAAGCCCCGACACGAAGTAAAAACTAGGAGGGAGTAATCAGATCCAAGAAGAAACGGGCCACAAATACTCAAAATTCAAGAAAGTGTTTGGAACAGGGTAAACTCCACTGTCATTAACAACGAACACAGCCCTAAGTGTGCTGGGCCTCGAGACCCAAGACAACCGTGACACACACACCCACACAGGGAGGGCTAAAATCTTTACTAATAAAAATGACCCAAAACGTCTGGAAACCACAGCAAATAACAATATAGATCACTATAATCACATTATATAGTATTTTCACATTTTTTTTCCTGTTAGGCACTAATCTTTAAAATCTCAGCTAGAAGTAGTTCTGTTTATATAGCCCTAAACGGTTTAAAAAAATAAAAATGCTGTAAAATTTTGAGAAGGTATGCTTTTTGTTTTTTTCTGAAAGTGTAAGAAATTTCTGAATGAAGCAAAGTAGACTCTCCGAGAATTTAGGAAATAGTTCTTAAACTTCACGCCAAGTCTCTTAATCTCACCAGTAACCTGAAAAGCCGAGAAAATGACCACAATCTAAGAACTTTTTTGGAGGGGCAAGTGAAATACCACTCACACTTTTCTACGGTGGAGCAAAAGCCTATCAAGACCAGCCTTTCCACTTTTGCAAAGGTTTAGGAAAAATTTTAACAAAGCTCTTTTTTTGTTGTTTTTTTACAAAAAAAATAAGTGCTTTTTTTCTTACCTCAATTATGGATGTTATTTCTCATGTGAGGTCATTAAAAAAGAAATGAATCTCCTCCTAAGGCAATTTACTTTTTTCTAAAGTAAATCTAATAACACAACTGAATTGAAGCCCAAGGCAGCAGGCCCCTCAGCTGGGTCCTCCCTCCCTCCGTCCCTCCCTCCCTCCCCGCCCGCCTTCCCAGGCTGGTCTTTGGGGACCAAGCTGTCCTCACGCTCCCTTTCACTACAGTGCCCACCCGGGCCCCTGCTCCCCTGTAAAGCCGCACCTGCTTGCAGAGACCCCCACCCTCCCCCTCCTCCCTGCACAGGCTCTGTCCTTCTCCCCTTTGTGCTTCGTGTGCAGAACGCCAGCCAGCCGCACTTTCACAGGATTTTCAGGAAGATCAGCAGTTCTCTCCCCGCCGGGGGAAGGTGGGCACGTAAACAGACTGAAGGTAGCCCTGGGCCTGACCCCTCACCCGTCCTCACTGCTGCTTCTGCCCCATCCCTCAGAAAACCACGTAAATGCAAAACCTTTTCATCCCCCATCAATAACTGGACCTCCAGGCAGTTAGAGAGCAGATAGCACGCTAGCTTCTACAGCAATGTTGCAACAGGACCCACTCCTTCCTCCCACCCTTGACCAAAACTGATAAAAATGTGACAACCTCTCCATAGAAGAAAAAAATACGTCTTAAAGACAGAACATTTTTCTTTAAACGTCCTAGGAATTCAATGTCTTTTTGAACACTGACACCTTAAAAACAGTTCTGGCCTAAGAATTAAGTCTTAAGTTGCTGCTTTCTATTTACAAATAAAGTAAAATTATCCTCCCTAAAAGCATGAACTTAGCTTCATCTTTTATAACACACGCAGGAGGAGCTAGAATGCCTTGTGGGAGAGGACCGCGGAGAGGTCCCTTTGCTCCCCAGGTCTCCTGCTCCAAAAAATGCAGAAATACTAAAACGGACTAAATTTGAGTCAATCTGATGGCCGTGAGCCAAACACAGTCACCCCAGAGCTGTTAAATATTTCATCAGGCTGTAGAACATCTTCATAATCCGCCCCATTACGCAAACATTTGCATAATTTAAGGCCACAGGGTCTTGGAGACCCCAAACCAGACAAAGGAAATCTCAAAACCGTGAAAGTCACACAAGTACGGTTATGCAAATCTGGAAACCAAACATCAGAAAATGACTAGCATCATTATGGCATCCCGAATATAATGATTCTTAAATTCCGCTAAAAAGATCATTCGCCAAAGTCGGTATTTTTCCTATTTTGTTTTACATTTAAAAAATCATTAAAAATATTAAAGAGATGTGAAATACAGAATATACAAACCCAAGAGACTATACGTATACCAGAGCAAAAGTTCTGTGGATCCTCCACTCTGCCCACGGTGGGAAACACAGGTCCCGAAGGGGGCCTGGAGCATCCCTGAGACCGGCTCGGGATGTGCTCCCGCGGCGCGGCCCAGGACCCGGCGCCGCTCCCGGTCACCTGCCAGGACGCGCCCGCTGCCAACGTGGGCCCCGGGGGGGGGGGGGGGGGGGGGGGGAGGCGCGGAGCGGCACGGCCAGCCGTCCCCGCCCTCGTGCCAATCACGCCCGCAGGACGGGCGCTAGTGCGACTGTGGGGATGCACGCTTTTGACTCCCGATGCCGACGCGCGTGACACAGCCAGGGACAAAAAGGAAGGCCCCCACCGGCCAGGCCGGCCTCCGCAGGGACCGAGAACCTCGCCCAGCTGCTCCCGGCGGCCGCGGGACGGAGCGCAGCGGGGCGGGCGGGGCGGCGCGGAGCCGGCCCCGAGGCGCCTCCGGCAGAGGCTGCAGCCGCGCGCGCGCCCGGGATCGGGGACCGGCGCGGGGCCCGGGCCGAGGGAGCCGCGGGCAGGAAGGCGGCCAGGGCGGCGAGGGGCGCGCCGCTCACTCACCTCCCGCCGCGCCTCCGGCGGCCGCTCGGCGCTGCGGGCCCGGCTCCCAGGCCGCCCGGGCCGCTCCCCGCTCCGTGCGCCCCCGCCGCGTCCAGCGCCGCCGCGTCTCCGGCCAACGCCGCGCGAGTCCCCGCCCCCGGGCAGCGCCGGCGGCGGGGGAGGCGGTGCCGCGGGCGCGAGCAGGCGAGGCCGGGGCCGCGCCCGCGCCCGCGCCCGGCGCAGCCGTCACAGGGACGCGCGGCCCTCCCCGCGCCCGGCCCCCGCCCCTCGGCCCCCGGACCCGGGCCCCTTGCCTTTCGCCACGGACGCGGGGCTCTGCGGGCCCCGGACGGGGAAAGGCGCGGGCGGTGCTTCCTAAGGGGGCGCACAGGTGGGAGGCGGCGGCAGAGCCAAGGGACCTGGAGGGACACTTCCCCTCCCCCGCCTGCACCACCCCGCAACCCTGGGCCTGAAGGAATTTTCTGGAACCCAGAGCCAAGCACACACCTTGCTACCCTCACGTCTCCTCCGTCGGTGGTCTCAGCCCAAACTGCCCAGAGTAGGGGAGCCAACGAAAAACACGTATTTGGAGGATCTATACTCGCAAAATTGTCTTTTTTTCTTTCCACAGCCCTTCCTAGTTGGCCCTGATCTCCCACGACTGTCGTGTCTTATGCCTTCATTTTTTGGACTGTGAGCCTCACTACCTGCAACAGATAAAGTGAAGATTCCCGGGCGCTGCGCAAGCGGGGTCTGCCGGGAGCCCTCAGGGTGGAGCCCGGGAATCGGAATTTTAAACAGCGCCCGGGTGGCTCTTGGGCACACGCAAGTTGGAGAGTTGTTAGGCCATACCTCCCTGAGCTGATGGTACGAAACTAACGACCTACAGGGTAACCATTTAGAAAATTTAAAAAACTCTAAAGCAATGGTTCTTAACGCTGACAGCATGGACCAGGTGTTAAATTTATCTGGGAGCTTTTAGAGTATTTAGATGCCAAGGTGAGTTCTGAGTGTGAACATTGGTATTTTGTTTGTTTTAAAGCTTCCCAGATAATTCTCACTTATGGCCAGGATTGAGAACAATTGTGCTACAATCATCTCTTTCCAGCGAACCTAGTTCAGGTGTCTGGGCAAGGAACCCCATCCTCTCACCCCCGCAAATCTCGACAACAGAAAACAAGTAAATACACAAACTCCCAGGGGAGTGCTCACAGGCAAAACTGTTTTCAACCAGAACAAAGACTCTCCTTGAAAAAGGTGACCAACATACCTTACTGCCACCTGAGCACCGCTCTCCTTAACTGCAGGAAAAGTATCTTTTATGAGCCAAAACCTGTTAACTGAGTTATGAATGACAATACATGAACCCTGTAAAGTAATATTCTACTATATTCCTACATATTTGTTACCCACTGTTAAACCACTGCCGGGTCAGACCAAGCATTCAAAAGCCAAGGGTGTGTTGGACATCAGCCCTGGCTTTTCCAATGACTTGACTTGCATCACTTCGCTCTGCTCTTCTAGTGACCTTAAGTGACCACAATCAGGATTTTTGGACAGGTACAGTAAATTCCCTTTCTTGTGCCTTTTGGCTCTCCTAGTTATGTTTTGCCTTCTTAGATGGGTGGGCCATAACTTCCATCTCATTTGCCTCTATGTAGGTCTCCATTAGTGTCTCCCATTTAGCAGCAACTAATTAGTAACTAAGCCAGTGATTCTGCTTTTTCTCCCCAAATCCCCCCAGTACATAGTTGTATATTTTAGTTGTGGGTCATTCTCGTTGTAGCATGTGGGACGCTGCCTCAGCATGGCCTGATAAGTGGTGCCATGTCCGCGCCCAGGATCCAAACCAGCAAAACCCTGGGCCGCCAGAGCAGAGCATGAGAACTTCACCACTCGGCCGTGGGGCTGGCCCCTAAGCCAATGATTCTTAAACACTTTATGCAACAGGTCTGTATGTCTAAGTACTGGGGCAGCTGGCTGAATTAACTACATCTTGACTTGAGGGGGGATCAGTCCTTTTCAAGTTTCATGAGAATCTTTATGACAAAACTTGGAATTTTTAAGATGCAGTAATATATATATTGCATATATAAATACTGGATTTACATTCCTTATAAAGTTCCCTTCTATTTCATCAAGGCTTCTTATCCAGAATATTTAACTTAATCAGTTGCTGGCCCTAAAAGTTCATTTGGACAAACTTTGATTAAACGCTGTGCAGAGGGCTGTGGTGGTGGTTGCAGTGGGCACCCGTGTTTTCCGGTTCAGCCTCCTTTCCCCCATTTGCTAGTGGCACCTGATTTTCACAGAGGAACCTTCCACCTACTCCAAGAGATACGGCCTTGGTAGGACTGTCAATCAAAGTGATGTCCTCTCCAGCTCAAGAGGTGGATGTTGAATTCATTTTTTATTTGCTGCCCTAACAAATTATCATGAGCCTAATGGCTTAAAACAACGCAGTTCTATAAGTGAGAAATCTCACTGGGCTAAAACGAAGGTGTCAGCAGGGCTGCGTTCCTTCCTGCAGGCTCTAGGGAAGACCCCTGTCCTTGCCTTTTCCAGATTTGAGTGTCTGCCTGCGATCCTTGGCTTGTTACCCCTTCTTCCATCTTCAAAGCCAGCAATCTTCAAAATCAGTGACATCTTTCTAAATCCTGCTTCCGTGGTCACATCTCTGTGATCCAGCTGGGAAAGGTTCTCTACTTTCAAGGACCCTTGTGATTGCATTGGTCCCACCTAAATAATGCAAGATGATCTCCCCCCACCGCAAGGTCCTTAACTTAACCACATCTGCAAAGTCCCTTTTGCCATTTCAGGTAACATTTACACGTTCCAGGGATTAAGACATGAAGGTCTTGGGGGGCCATTATTCTGCCTATCACAGACCCCTATCCTCAGCTGGTCCATTATACTCTGCTCCTGGAGTGACCACGGTGATGACCCAAGGACTGGAAAGGATCGATGTGTTCTCATCTTAATGATGGCACCCATCATTTTTGATGTGTAGATCTGTAGGTCTGGTTCCTGTGCCTCCCAAGGCCTGACTCTTCTGTTTATTCTTAATTCTGAGCCTTTCTCCATAGCCTAGAACTTACTAGAACTAAATGTAATCCATAGTAGGAGATAATCAGTACAGAATCAGAGTTCTCGGTGGCAGACAATAGAAACAGCCTCTAAAAATCTTAGGAAAAGGGGAAATTGATTGGACAAATGTCAGTGTCTCACAGAATCAATGGTGAGAATCAGTGAAATCATATTCATTGACTTCCAATCAATTTTGAAAACCTAGATGCTACAGAGAGCTAGGCAGCAGAAATCACTGCAAAAGTGACACAACAGAAAGAATGGGTGTGGTATACCTGCCGTACGGCTGCATCTTTAAGAAATAGGACCTCCAACTGACCCCACGTCCTTGCAACGCTGCTCAAGAGACCGGTGTCTGGAGGGAGCTTCCAGGTGCAGGAATTTGATTCTATGCCCGTCCCCCAGGCTGGCAGGGATAATGCCTCTGCTTTCTGTAGTGGGATGTGGACATTAATTCTCATCAAGGCTACACACCATGGGACATTCCCCCAAAAGGAGATTGAGATGCTTATAAAAAGAGGAGGTAGAATGCTGGCAGGCAAAAAAAACTAGCAAACATTCCCCACAAATATCCTAAGAGAAATTCAAAGAACTGCGGAGGAGGCAGAAGTCACAGCTATTTAGGAAAATCAAGAAAGACTATACAGAAAGTGGGTGTAGATTACCTACATCAATAGTAAGTGAAGCCATAGCATTTTAGTAAAGCTGTGTTTCAATGGTCCAGCCTTGACTAAATAGAGGACCGAGAAAGCGTTGACATGCTTTGGCCCCAAAATTCTTTAATGCTCTTCCCACTGAGAATGGGGTCTGTGTCTCCCCCCCAGAAATCTGGGTAGGGGCTTATGACTGCTCCAACAAACAGAAGACAGCAGAACTGAGGCTGAGGCTAGGTAGGTCACAACAGGTGACGCAGCTTCCACCTGGCTCTCTCTGGGATGTTTGCTGTTGAAACCCAGCCACCACGAGAGAGCCCAGGCCACCTGGAGGTGTTCTGGCAGCAGCCCCAGCTGTGGTCTTAGCCAACAGCTACCACCAATTGCCAGATGTATGAGTGATTCCCCCTTGAACTCTGGGGTCTCCTACGCCCAGTCTTTGAGTTTTCCATCTGACTGCTACTGCAAGAGAGACCCTAAGCGAGAAGTGCCCAGCTGAGCCTAGTCGGCATGCTGGACCCTCGTGATAATCGTCAAATGATTGCTGTCTTAAGCCACTATATTTAGGCTGGTTTGTTATGCAGCAATAGATAACCACAACAGCCAGCAGGGCACTGACACTTTAGTATTGACTCATTTTCCAGCACCTTTTTGAGGCCAGTGAGTGGAAATCAATCAGGAAAGACAGAAGACACAGTAGATCAGGGCCCAGGGGCAGGAATGGAGATCTCAGGAGAGAGGATGTTGCATGGAAAGAGATGCAGCTGCTCCTCCTCGCTGAGAGTATCTTGTTCCACCGTCAACCTTGGCGGCTCTTGTTTATCGCACAATACTTCCG